CACATAAGCTTGGAAACGCACAAATGAGAAAAATCCAAACCAAGATTCTCCGCATACACGTTAAACAAAAAAAATGAGGATCCATCATACATCAACTCGGTAAACAACCCGAAGATACCCCATTTGATCTGAGACACACCCGTGAACTAACACACGGAAGACGCCGGGTGTCTCGGGTTGACAACCGTGACAGTTGTCAAGCAGAGCAAATCGGAATAGCTCGGTTACCGGGTGTTTCATCGCGATCGTTGTCCCGCTGTGGGGCATTGAACCATGGCATTGAGCTATGGCATGGCATTGTACGTATCGGAGATCCGCGGTACACATATTGTTATATATTGATTTATGTAGGTCCTTGCCAGATCCAAGTCGAGTTGAATTATCTTTCTTTTTACCCGACAGTGAGCGTATAGATATATAGTGCACTTTCTCGGACCTCGCCGATCTGCCGATCTACTATATAGTATGGATAGCTGAGTTTCAAGTCCGTACCAATATTATATATAAATTTAGAATGGGGGAATTGACAGTCCACTGGAAGTGTTCCAATTGGAGCACAATCAGAGATCAAAATCAAGAGACGGCAGAAACTATGGTACACCGCAAGTTCCGACGCTCAGGAAAGGGCCTGACTAGCTTCAAACCAAAAAAAAAAAATCTTTCTGCATCATTGGGGCACAGGTCAATGCATCACACGTGCCATTTGTGAACCCCTGCATATTATGTGGAAAATAGTTCCGAGCGGCACGAACCGAGTAAACCTATGTTTTTCGTTTAGGGTTAAGCGTTAGCTGCACACAGACATGTCGCTCTTTGCCGAGCCGGGATTATCTTTTGTAACATTCAAATTAAGTTTGTCGGTGAAACTGCCTGTCACGAGAGTTCCTCGGAGCAAGTTCCTAAGCCCATCTCTAACCGAGGGCGGGGAAAATAGACTGAAATACGCCAAGAAGTCTGTGGTTCTGCAAGGGCCATTGAATACCCTTTTAATTAATTTAACTCATGAACCGGAGAAATTCCAGGAGCACATCAGGACCTTGGAACAACGGTTAAGGGTTTTTAGCTAAGCGGCTGAGGCTGTGCCCCCGTTGCTTTTTTGTTTTACTTTTTCCCCTGCACAGCATTCGCACTGGCACGCTGGATATATTCTCCGTTTCGGCACTGTACCCAGATGGGGTGGAACCCCCGAGCTATAAAAACAAGTTTAAGTTAGACTCCAAGGCTATTGACTTATACGGAGTCCGGTAGATACGGTTAAAGGTCGGAAAAGCCAGAGTTGGGGTTTGATAGACGAAAAAATACCAATAAAGATCCGGACCAACCATCCGGTTCCATGTGGCCCCGGTGCATGACTTCCGAAGTCGATCATCCTGTGAAGGAGAGGGGCGAGATCTTCATGGACTTGTTTTTTTTTTTTTTTTCCTAGTGTTATTTTTTTCTGATATCATATTAACGTATTAAAATATTTACAGATGCTCTATTAATCTTAAAACACCAATGGAAGAGACCTATTTTCCTTGGTATATCCAAACACTTGCACTGCCGATCTCGGGTTGACTTGCTTCCTATATTACCGTACATTGTACAGATATACATTCGGCTGAGATCCGTTGAAGATTCCTTAAACCCAAATATTCTCGAAGATCGTAATACTCCTCGTCGATCTATAGTTCGTTTTTTTTTTCTCTTTTTCTTTTCCTTTCCTTTCCTCTAACGGTTGATTTTACATTCCCCGATCTCCCCTTTATTCACATTCTTTGACCTTCACCTTTCCCACCTGGGCAACCTCGGCATTTGCATATTTATTGTCCGGTCTTTTGGGGCTTTGAGACTTTTATTATAATTTTTTTTCTATTTCCCTTTTCAATCTTAGACAATGACTTGCCAATTTCCACAATAGCAAGAAATCAAAATCTTGCTTGGGAGGCGATAGCCCTTATCTTAAATCACCTTTCCACCTGGGCCTTGGAAGGTTTCTTTTCCCTTGTTTTCACCATGCAGCCTTTTCGTAAAGGCTATGAACTTCCACCTGTGCAGTCGGTGACGTCGGGCGCATTCCCGGCTCCCGCGCTGCTTTCCGCTCCGCCGAGCAGACCGGATAGCGGGATGCGAATGTCCCATTTATTGCAGCCTATGCCCGCAGCTGTACCGGCGACATCACCGTACCAGCGTTTTTATGATTCCACCTCTGGATCACCAGCTGAGATTACGCTTCCAGATGCCCCACCACTGAACTCAGTACCAGGCCTCTACCAAACCAGCCCAGGGCATGGGCAACAGACCGCCGCGCAGTTACAGCAGAAGCGTGCGTATCGCCAGCGTAGAAAGGACCCCAGCTGCGATGCTTGTCGCGAGCGTAAGGTCAAATGCGATGCCTCGGAGTCGTCTAGTTGCACCGAATGTAACAATCGGAGGGTGCGCTGTCAATTTACCAAAGAGACGAACCGCCGCATGTCGTCCATTAAACAGGTCCAGGATCTGGAGAAGCAGTTGCAGAATACGAAACAGCAATTGCAGCACTTACAGACGGGCATGATGCGACCCGATCGTACGATCGATGTTGATGAAGGCGTCCCGCAGCCGATGATCAAATTGCCTGAGATCGAATATCGACCCGTGCGTCGTTCCAAGGCGCCCATCCCACAGGATTTCTCTGATGTGCGGTCTAATCTCCGCCATTACGGCCGTGGCATTTTGAAAGTACCCACCCCATACCGTCAAAAGGGTGCAGAATCATTGGTGACTGAGGATGCGCCGGAGCTGCCGCCGAAGAATCTAGCAGATCATTTATTGGCCCAATATCTCAATTGCATTCACTCAGTGCTTCCGGTGCTCCATTGGCCCATATTCATCGCAGAGTATGAAAAAGTTTATCGGTCGGGGTCGTTGCTGGGTGTCTCAACTGAATGGGCGGCTGTGCTGTTTAGTGTATTTGCCTGCGGTTCCATCCACACAAACGAGACGAATCGGGAGGAAGAAGGAAAGAAATACGTCCGCACTTCCTGTGGGATCATTGATGTCTGGCACGATAACTTCAATCTGGACCGGGCTCGTGCAGCGCTACTGGCAAGCATCTTTCTCTACGAGGTCAATTCGAAGTCGGCTAGTTGGGTGTGGATTGGCTCAGCAGTGCGTGTGGCTCAAGAGATTGGGCTGCACATCGACTCTGGACCGTGGCCTGCAGTTGAAGGAGAGATGCGGAAGCGTGTTTGGTGGGGGTTATACGCCTGGGACAGATTACTCGCGCTTGAGATGGGGAAGCCTGTGTTGATCAACGATCAAGATTGCGATATCGATCTGCCATGTCCCGTGGACGACCAGTACATCACAGAAGGGGGCAATATCCCAGACAGCCAGCAAACCACGCCGCTACTAGCTACAATCCACGTGGTCCGGTCCATCGGTCAACTCACGCGTACTCTACGCTCAGCAACCATCAGCCCCGCCACGCTCGAGACCTTTGAGCTCCACTTCAACACCTGCCTGGCAACATTCCCCTCCCAATTCCACCCCAAAACCGACCAAGATCTTGACCCCCGCTCTCTGGCCCCGGTAATCTACCTTCAAAACGCCCGCCTCCTCCTCCACCGCCACAACATCTCCCCCTTCTGTCCAGACATTGTCCGCACCGCAGCAATGGACTACTGCGTCTCTACGGCCCTCGACACAGCCAACATCCTCGCCCGCTGTATGCGCAACTACCCCACTAACCCGGGACCACCATCCATCAACGATCCCCGCTCCCACTTCGCCTCCTGTGCCGGCTCCCTTCTCTGTACACACATCTGGCGCTGCACGCTCCTCCTCTTGTTCCGCGCCGAGTACGCCGGCGCTCTGGCATGCGTGCAAGCGCTGGCATCAATCGGCGACGTGCGCGCGGTCAACGCAGCCTGCGGCCGGTACCTCGCCTTCTTCCTACGTCGTCTCCTAGCCCGCATTCGCCCATCCGAGGGCCACGTCCTTGATCTCGACCGCGACGAGGAAATGATGGCGTATGTCTCCGGTGATATGCAAGGGACCAGCGATGGAGCCTGGGTGTGGCATGGATCCGAGACGGGGTCTCAATTGGAGGGGATGGTGAACTCGACGCCGAACTCTTCGAGCCATCAGACGGAGATCGAGATGGATGCGGAGTGGGAGGGGTGGGAGTGGATTGAGAAGACTGTACATGATCTCTTTACAGAGCAGCATCAGCAACAACAGCAGCAGCAGATGGCTTACGGACAGCCGAAGCTGGAGGCTTCTGCTTCGACCTCTACTCTTGCGCCTGGATCTACTGATTCGGCCAGTTCGGCGCATTCACGCATGACGATTGCGAGCATTATTTGAAGCGGGTCTGTTCTATCTGCGAGTGTGTTGTTTTTATCCCATTTTCTACGCCGGATCTCACATGCGATGTTTTCTTTTCTTGAACGCCCCCACCTACGTCATACCCACTCCCTTCCATCGCACATCACTCTCTCTGGTATATGTGTGTGTGTGTGTGTGTGTGTGTGTGTGTGTGGCTCTAGACCAGATCTAGAGCTCGCACAAACTTTAGGGCACTTGCCTATTATTTATATCTTCCTTGCAAATATTGCATCGCCGATACCCATGCCCGAGCACTTGTTTATAGCCTTTTTTATTTTACTGTATATATCTACAAGCACGCGTATCAGATTCAGATGAAATGTTTCAGTTTGCATTTGCTTCTATGTTTCGAGTTCTTAGCTTGATGACAAACCGGACCTCAACACACTGACAAGGCTGGGGCTAACCCCAAGACGACTTGCCAGTGACATTGGTTTTTGCCTGGATAATTGGATTCAACGCACTATCTTCACAAGAAAGTCATATACTCAATTACCAGAGACATTATAGTCAACAACACATCTTTTTTTTATCCCCAATTTTCTCCCCTCCATTTCTCCACCTCTACCTTCTCACCTTCTACTTTCACCTCTCCACCATGCACCTCTGGACTTCTCCAACTCTGACCAATCACATTTCCATGAACAGATTTAAATCAAAGTCCCCTCAATAGGAACAAATGTACCATTCTGAATAGATCCAGCGTGGTGACGGGCAACAAGACCATAAGCAAACTGGTACCTACAGACAAGACAACAAGATTAGAACCCATGAAACAGCAGAAGAACCAAGCATAGATAACAACTTACTTATCAAGGAAAGGCAGAACCTCATTGAGACCAGGAGTCTTACGCCAATCGCGCATAAGATCACAGACAATACCGAACAGACCCATGAGTGTAACACCAGCCCTCTCCATACGACGATTCGCATCTTCAGCAAGCTTCACGTCGAAAGTACCACTCGCATCGGTATTGGCGAAGACTTCGTAGCCAGCATCAACGAGGGAGAGAGCGAGGAAGGAAGTGCCTGGTTTGAACATCAGTATTTGTTTTCCTTTCCTTGCACATTTCTTTTCCCTCCACTTACAAACTTCAGTAACGATGCCAGCGATAATCAACTGCTTCTTGCCTGTGGCCTTGACCGCAGCGCGGAATTCCGCATTATCCCAAGCATTAACCTCACCCTGACGACGGACGAAGGTCGCGTTGGGGTGCATTTCGGTGATTTCCTTGAGCATGAGGCCGTTCGGGCCTGCATCCGAGGAGCTGGTCAGCACGGTTGGAAGGTCGAAGACGTTGCCGAGGGCAGCATGGCCGAGGATGTTGTTGCGGAAGTCGTTTGTGTTGAAATCACGCACGAGTTGGGCAAGGCCGACTTGGTGGTCGATGACGAGGAGGGCCTGAGGTTGTTAGATCGTGTTTCTTCTTTAGATGGTATCTCTTCAATGATGTTTTGGGGAAGGTGTGACTCACTGCGTTGTCCTTGTCCAGTCTGTTCCATGCTTGCGCGGGAACGGATGCTGCGAGCAGGAGTACTGCTTTGATTCCGGCGGAGATGAGCATCTTGAAGATGCTGTTTTTACTAGACTTGGAACTGGAATTGCCTGAGATGTTCTGGATATACCTCTAGAACTGGTGACAAGCCGGCTTTTATACTTCGAGGTCGAGGGTAGCTGCGCTCCTGGACTGAAGGTCCTGATTCCGCCCATGGGTCTCATAATCATGACAAAGTGCTTTCAAAGGTCTTGCTATGCTTACTGCATTGATTATTGCCACTTTTACTGTGCTGTCCGTGGTAGGTATTGCTTGCTGTCAGTGCTTGAGGTATCCATCAAGGGCTACCATGATGTCTTGGCGTGCAGAAATGGCTAGACTAGACAGGGATTCCGAGGGAAACGGTCACATTACCGATTTGTGAGATTATGCAAGTGTGACAGAGCATTAGAGACCTCATTTTCTTCTTCCTATTTTCGCCCTGATTTTGGAAGTTAGCGTGCAGTAGTTTTACTCCGGCAGGATTGTATAGATGAAATTCAGCCATTGCGTGGTTTCGGGGTCCATTCTAGATTGAAGCCCGGTATACCTAACTAATGGCTTTTTTTTCTTCTTTTAACTATGGCCGTTCGATTTAGGCTCGCAGCGATGGCCTCAACATTCACTTATTGAATCGAAGTGAATGGAAAGAAGTACCCTAAAACGGAGCGCACTAATTTTTAGAGATCAACCCAGTCTAAGTATAATTTAGTTAAATGACCCGGCATATTGCCTAGCTCGGTCAATTTTTGGAAATGGTTAATCTTGCACGATCAAGCACTGCAAAATATTTCCGAGCCCAAAGCCAAGGTATTTTTTCAGTCTAGCAGATACACTGTTCCGAACTCGAAATTGACTGGAAACTGCGCTGAAGGACTCGGTTCAACCCGTCGGCCCAACAGTCTGTAAGAAACGGCTAAACCCACAGTGTTCATTTTAGCGTGATTTAGCGTTGTTTCAATGGTATAAGCTGCGTGTCAGCATATGTCAGCACTACCAAACCTTCTAGGACTTAATATGCACTATCCGAACTGAGTTTAGTTGTCTAATTTGTATATATTCCCTATCATGTCGCTCGGACTTTAGAACTTTTATTGAAATATCACCGAACAGCCGCCAAGCCATGCAGACACTGAAATCAGGCTTGTAATTTATCTTCTCCATATACCTCTCTAGCCGAACGCCAAGCCTCAACATAGCCATGGGAGGTTCTTGTCTAACTCTTATCGGAATTCTGGTCTAAATCTGAGACCCTGTGGCGTCTGCTTACGGGCTGATTACGGTACAAGCAGCGTAGGAACTGTTACATGGGTTATATAGACGGCTCATTTTAGTGCTCTTTAGTGTTATAAAACTAGCCGTGGAAGGTAGGTTGATCATACTCACAAATCAGGTCGCGAAACTCTGAGACATATTTAGTTTCTATCTTCCTGTATCTGCTGAGACTAAATATGTTCTTGGGCCGACTTTTGGTGGAAATGTGGGGGGGGGGGGGGATTTTTTTTTCCTTTTTAATGCTTCTTAATGTTTTAACCGTTGCGAGCTATAATGGGTAAGGATATGTATGGGTTGGACTCGAAGACTTTATATTGATTCCGGTATCGGTGGTAGTGAAAATCAAAAGACTGCGCCATCATGTATTAATGGAAGTATAGAGGACCAATGAGAACTCTTGGGAGATCCAATTGGGCCAATAACCTTACTTTTACCTACCTAGGTACCAATGTTCGGGATGCGATGATACCATTATGACATGTTTGGAATAAAATCTACTTGCTAGACTTATATGAATATATCACCTAGTATCTATTTTGACTCGAAGACGCTTTGGTCAGGGAAGAACCGAAAACACACGATCTCATCGAGTTCTCGGAGAAGCAGGTGGAAAGAGACGCGCAGGCTTTCTCGGATGGTGGCATTGTCGAGGAAAACTAACTTCGATACCATGAAACGCTTGTTGAGCTTCGAAAAGGTTCTTGTGCGTTGAATCCTGCCATTTGATTGGGTGCATTCGAGCTTTTGATGCAAACAAGCTAGATGAAATCGTGGTAGATAGACCTCGGTATATCTGCTAAGAGCTTGTCCTGCATGATAGTATAATTGTTCAGCCTTCTAGTGCTGACCAGTTATAGTCATGCTCATAGGTAGCCATTTGTTTCTTCGTAGTAAACGGTTGCCTTTCCTTGCGTTTATAATGTCAACGTACCTACCAAATCACAATACCAACGGGGCCATAGGGGGTTTCGCATAATAAACCAAAGGCAGTGACAGGCAACGGGTACCTGCATAACGTGGGATCGGTACCAATTATGTCCGAATAGGATGGCGGATCAGTGTGTTGGAATTGTTTGAGCCCAAAACACTGACAAGCACATACTACCTGGTATATGTAAGCCACCTAACACAAACCGGGCAATACCTTTTAATTATATAGCCAATCGGCCATCCATGACTTTCGGAACCATATCTTATGAAACATATTATTTATATGAACATTTGTGCGACCGGGATGTCAGATCGTCGCAGCTAAGAGACTAGTTCTGCAGGCTAGTTTGCGTAGATGAGCCTCTGGGAGGGGTCACAGACCTTGGCTGCAGGTCTGAATCCAACCTCGTCTCAAGAACTCACTCGTTTGATCGCTTGTCTCCTCCAAGGTGGATGCAGCTTCCTGACACTCGTTGGTTGTATTTTGTTTTGTTTTTGCTTGTCTAGATGGTCCCTGCGTCTCTACTACCAGCGTTCGTTGGTTTGCTTTTGCGCTTGGCATAATCGTCAGCATGCTGGCTTCTCCACACCAGGCTATTTGGACCATCTCTGGACAGACCTTGCCCCGGACTGATGTGACCGATGCCTCATTGTTATGGAAGGTAGCAGCAGCCTGCTTTGCAGCTTTGCAACTGGTCGGGTAAGTTTGGTATCACCACGACATGTGAGCTTGACTTGACAATCAGAGGTCTCTAACTATAGAGTTGCTGTGGTTAGGTATATGATGCTGGCTGTGGCAGTTAGCTCCCCTCCCTATGAGTTGCGGATCAATGCTACAGTATCTACTGTGACTGCATTCGTGTTTGTTGGTGCGTCCTACGGTGTATCAGCCCTGATTTCCTTCGCCCAGCGCCACCGAATGATGTTCCTCCTCCACTCAATATTTATGTAAGTGCAAATGAAAGCCGCGTCTCTGCTATTGGCCACCAGCTAACAATTGCAGCCCATACTCGACAATGAACCTGCTCGCGCTCCTGAATATCCTGTTCCACATCCACGGGCGAAGCCTGCAGATGAACACCTTGCAGATCGTAAATATCTGCCTACCCACTGTTTTCTCCGTGTGTTATGCTCTCGCTGGGATCCTGATATATCGAGAGCATAGCCGTCACCGAGCGGAGGAAGGCACGCCGCTACTCAGTGACGAAGAGATGCAACGGCGCCAGTTGCTTCGCTTGTTGGGGGAACGAAATACCAGTGCGCCATCGCCTGAGCTTGTGCGGAACACTTATCGTTTCGATTTACCTGGGGATGGACAGTGCAGAAGGACTGGAATAATTTGACCGCTTGAAGCACGCTACAGCGTAGGAAATATCGGGTATGAGTACAGAGGGAATGTGTGTAACTGAATGTCAAATTTGATTGAATAATGTATTATTTCACGTGTATCTTGTGCACAATGTGTATAATGTGTGTAGTAGTAAGCCCCGGACTGTGTGTAGAGACAAATCCCTTGGACCTCGGCTGTTTTTTTCGCGCCGAGCGGATTTAAAGTCCAAGGAACCACCGTCATCCCTGAAATTAATTTAACCTCCCGATTCCGATCTCTCTCGAAGACAATTTATAAACATGTCGAAACGCGTGACGCTTTTCGATCCGCCCGCGCAGGATCATTCCAAGGCTCTTATTGAAAATGTGCTTGATTTGACGCCAGTGGTGGACCTCGGCCCAGTATGGCATCCCTTTATTTTTTCTGTCGCGACAAGGGCCACATTCTAACAAAACACTCCTGTCTCTAGGATGTCTTCACCAATACCCGCCCGCTATGGCATCCTCCCGGAGCTCGAGGCATTTACGGCGGCGCCGCGATCGCGCAGTCCCTATCAGCCGCCATGTTGACCGTCCCCGCCGACTACGCCGTCCACAGCATGCACTGCTACTTCGTGCTTGCCGGCGACTCGGAGATCCCAATCCTATACCATGTTGAGCGCGTACGCGATGGAAGGAGCTTTGTGACCCGAACCGTGCAGGCGCGGCAACGGGGGCGGCCGATCTTCACCACCACGCTGAGCTTCAGCCGGGTCGGCAGTGGTGGTGAGAAGACGGTTCACCACGCCGTATCAAAACCAGACGTCCCATTGCCAGAAGATGCTGAGCCGGGAAGTCTGAAAGCCCTCAGCAATGCGGGGGGTGGTCCGTTTGAATCAAGAAAGGCGGGAATTTTGAACCGTACGTCTCCGTCGGAAGCTCCATGCTGTGTTCGTTGTACTAATTGGCCGTCGTAATCAAACAGGCACATCCCCCAACCAAGAAGATAAGAAGGTCCGACGATATATTCGCGCCCGCGGCGCAATCTCCGAACAAGGTGGGTACCAAGCACACCTGTCAGCGCTTGCGTATATCACCGATAGCTATTTCATCGGTACCATCACGCTCGTCCATGATATCCCGCGGTTCTCTTCCCCAGCAGAACTTGAGAAGCTTTTAAACGCGCTTAAAAACCCATCCGATCTCGATGATGAGGATATCACGCGAGCTTTGAAGGAGTTAAAGGAAGAGGAGGCTGCAGAGTTGCGTCGCCGTGTAGAAGGAGCCTTGAACAGGGCCACATCGGGCAAGAATGAGGTAGACCATAAAGAGGTTGGTATGATGGTCAGCCTGGACCACTCCATTTACTTCCACAATCCCAGGGCATTCCGTGCCGATGAGTGGATGTTGACGGAGATGGAGAGTCCGTGGGCCGGCGAAGGACGAGGCCTGGCAATTCAGAAGATTTGGTCTAAGGATGGGGTTCTTATTGCTACTTGCACGCAAGAGGTACGTGTTTGTTTTTCTATTCTGGAGCTTAGTGCTAATTTGATCATAGGGTGTGGTGCGATTAAAGCAAGACAAGCCGCCACTGTCAAAGATTTAAAGAGCTTGTAATATACCCATACCTTGAGGGAGGTATCTCCCTTCTGTCAGCGTGACCCTATTCTTCCTTCCTTTTCACATTTCTTCATTTATAGAATTGGGCTTAGTCCCCCTCGACTTCCTTCTGAAGCCGGTCATTTTTAGCTATGATGTGATAATTCAATAACAAATATCTGGAAGCCTTAAATACATATTTGTCTCTTGTCTTCGCCCCGAAGACAACAGTCTTCACAGTTAACAAACCAAACGCAAAATAGCGGAAAGAAACAACTTTTGCGTTGTTAAACAAACAAGCCAACCCAATTTTGATCTCCCAGAGCCAAAATGCAAAGCAAAGAAAAACAAGGTATCCTACAAAGTCCATTCAAACCTCAATTCTCTGGTCTTTCTCCTTATCCTCATTTCCTGTCTTTTCACTCTCACCAACCCGTTTCCGGTAGTATTCCAAAACCTTAGCCCCCCAAACATCCCTCCCCTTATACTCGCCCACATGATCAGGCCAACTCTTCATCTCTTTGGCCAGATTATCTAGCTCTGCCATTGGAAGCTCATCCAGCGGCGTGAGATACGTCTTGACGCCGAAGACGATCGCCCCTGTCCGCGGCAGTCGACGGAAAGTTTGTCTCTCGCGGCGGATCAAGATATCTGACGGGGATGGGCTTCTCAACTCTTTCTCACAGAGGGAGTTGGGCCGATAGAGAATCTCAGTCAGGTTCTCGTCTGTTCCCTTGACTTCAACGAAGTAGTTTGAGCGCTCCATTGGAGATTTAGGGGTTAAGCGGACAAGGAACCTGGCGATTGGAGTTAGTTTATTGTGTTTTTTTTCTTGGTCTCGGTCATTCTGCCTGTTCTGGCTTGGAAAATAACTTACTTGCTGACGGAGTTGGCGACTTGCTGGTGCCATAGTGGCACGGGGCCATGCAGTTGAGAGATGGTCCAGCCAATTCTCTGGTTCACTGTCCACCCCGTCGGGAAGAGGCTGGCGCTAGCTGCCCTGTGATGGGGTTAGGATTGACCAGTTGGCTTTTATACGTGGATTTGGACATACAGGTAAAATTCCCCTTCCTCGTTCATCATCAAAATACTGAGATCTTCCATCGTGAGACGGACAGCAGCCTCGAGTGCCTCTGTTGATCCCTCGTTGGAGTCACGCCCGCTGACAGTGAATTTGTCGCCAGTCATGCGATTGTCGACGATTTTTCGACCGTCTTGAATTGTCATTTCAAACATATTGGGGAACCTCTCGCAGAGGAAGTCTGAAACTTCCTCTAGTGCCTCCTGGCACGGTTCAATTGACTCTGGCAGACAGCGCAGGACCTCTTCTCTTTTCTCGTGAAGCAATTGGGTCCGCACCCGGTGTTCAGCCATATAGTTTTTGTCGAGGGTGAGCCAATTCTGAGCGTCGAGTTTGCGAATGTCCATCATTACCCGGTACCGCTCTCTGCCTTTGATGGGCTGCGCTGGGTACGGTGCCATACGCTTGACGTCGGATGGATTCGACACATTTGAGCAATGTTTCCCTTTCAACTTTTGTGACAGCCATTGGAGTAGCTGTTTTTGGTGTCTGACTGCGAAAAGAAAGACGAAGATTGGAATTGCAACTAGTGAAAAGGTTGTCATACTTTTCCCATTCAAAGGTTCAACGTATAGATCCAAACTTTTTTTCTCTTTTGGAAATTAAAAGACTAATGAACGCTCAATGTCAAATGAAGGTAAAATGAAAGTAAAAAAAATATGAACATGATGGACTCTGACCTAGACTAGACGATATAAATATGATTTTAGGATGGGCTATGAAGTCACCCTCGGAGGAACAGGCAGCAAAGAAGATCATCAGACGATCAAGTCAGCTTCACTAGTCCCAGTCAAAAAAAAAAAGATAGCTCAAGGTATGGCAGCTGCATTCCACATTCCTCATTTAGCAAAGTTGTGCCTGCGGAACTGCTGTGATACGCCCAGGGATTCCCCGCAAAAAAAGTCAGAGTTCGCCGGGGAGACCAGCCACATGATCTCAGACTTTTTGTGAAATTTCTTTTTGATTTATTTTTATTTTTTATTTTTTTTCCAAGTGCAAGCGAACTGACATTCTGGGCTGTGCACAAGCAGTATGTATGATTGGAGAAGATCCCAAGTATACAGTCTCTCTAACTGGTTGATCTTGCTTTACCAGTCAAACAAGAGCGCTTAGAAATGAATAGGGCCCATAGTTGCTCGGCGGACTCCATACTGTGCAGGGCCCGCACGATCTAGGCACAAAATGTCTGTCTTTAGCTTCAATCGTCAAGCTCGTTTATACCGTCCGTGCGCGGCGGCCCCATGAACCGCCAGGGCTTGCCGACTCGGGGAAAAGAACACTCCGAACAATTGGCCGGATATCGTCGGAGAGACAACTAAACCTAGGGTGTCAATTGTTTGTGTAAAGTACCCAAAGTCCGAGAGTAGATGTTTGATCTGAGTCAGTTCTGGCTTCAACTGGTTAAACTCCAAGTGTTAATTGGATCTGACTGGCCCGGGGATGGGCCGGGGGCCCGATCTAGTTCAGGTGCACATCACACCCGAGGTAGACGGGCACATGGATTTAGTCTGACGTATCATAGCACCCATCCATTATACCCCCTCGTGTGGGGTGAATATCAAGGGGATTTTTATTTTCTTTCGGTTTGGTCTCCGTCCAAATTCAAAGATAGGATTACTACGTCTTCGCTTTTCCATTGAACAATGACATTGCATCGGACATCACTAGTACTACATTTCACCCTGTCATACCATCGATCAGGTGAAAATCTCCTAAAATCTCCCAACCCTGTTTAGAGGCTCCACAGACTACTATCTGGGGTTCCCGCTGTAACCGCACATCCCCCCCTTTCGCGTAAAGCGCGTTTGCCGCTATTATTTGGCTCGGACCGTTGTATTAACATTCTATTTTCCGACTAAATTATTGACTTTTGCGTGCTATATTCGCTCCTTTTTTTTCGCCTCCGTCATAGCTTCTTCCCCATGCCCCTGTAGCCCACAGACTAGGATTGAATCGATCTACAAAGCATAATAGATATTTGCCACTCAACTTCAGGAATTAGTTATATTTCATCCGTAAGGGACTGTATTCCGTACTCTCTACTCCGCATCCTCTTGCTAATTGACTAGTTTTTAATCTACATCCAACCAATCAATGCTTTCAACTAGACTTGATCCAAGACTTTTGTAAGGTCTAGACCTCGTGTAGGTCTTTCAATCCTTGAATCTTTGAACTCTTCATCCGCGACCCCGATTACAATTAGAGTGCAGACCAATGCAAGTCAACACTCGGGGGCTTTGACTTCCCATCCGCCAGTCTTTTTTCTCTTTCTTTTCTTTTTGTGATCTTTCACTTGCGCACAGACATTTAGATCACCTGCAAGTGTTCTCGCTGGTTGGGTTGTATTTTCCAAGGTGGATCTCCCGTCTACCCTTTATTTTTTGCATTAGTAGCGCTCCAGCCGAGAAAAGGGTAAGTATTATGTTTACGGGACTAATATCTCCAATTGGTTTATGTGGGCTTGACAGGGCTGGATATTGGTCATACGTATTTCCAAATGGGCCACATTTTGACTGATCACATGGTTTTTTTATGGTCCGGCCGTACGGAATAGAAGATGCGCATTTGGGATATTTAGAGCAAGTCATTTCTTTGTTTGTCGAACAGCAAACTGACGATCATATGTGTTTCTTCAATCTATTTCGAATGGACGAAAGCAAGAATGGAGAGTCGCATATATGGCTTTATCATGTTTTTTTGGTAGTCTTTTTGGTAGTCTTTTTAGACGTCATTTTTTCTAAAATTCGCTCGCCTTAGTAGTATTGTAGCTAAGCTTGTAACAAGCATTAGCCGCAAAATGTAGAACATAGATCGGAAAAAATGTGGGAAAGGTGGTTATAGGTTGCCAAATGCTCCGGAGTCTAAAAATATCACTCTACAATCTTGGCTAATAGTCACCTGAGCCATTCCTACAAAGTCATGCTAACAATCTTTCTGTTTGCTTCAGGCTAGTTTCGGTCTATTTGTAAGCCTTTCCTATCCATTCCGAGGTTCTCAGTCAAGCAATTGATCTACCGCTCGTGAATGTATGATGTCTTCTGCTAACAGGCTTAATGGCTAATCTTGTGGGAAACGAGATGATCAACCTCATCGGCTGGTTCATATTTATACTCGGAGCATTCATTCTCGCCTGCGGTTCAACACAGACGGATATGGAGCACATTCCCTTCTGCGTATCACGTTGGATTATTCTGCCATGGACTGAGACAACCTATGGGGTTTTCTGTGAGATTGGCGCTTGGTGGTTCTTTTTCTAGGGTCATCTCTTGGCTGGAGATTGGATACCGTCGCCTCCCAGCTACAATACCCAGTTCGAGCTATCACCGTCCCATTCCGATAATTTGCACGTTGAACATATTCTGGTCAAGCCAAACCAAACTAGCTTGCATTCCGTCCAGAGTGTTGACTTGACATTCCCGGGACCCAACCATAAAGCTACAATTCATAGGTTAGTCAAGGTAGACTTGGACCCCTATGAAGGGAGTCATACAGGGTGGTTGATGTGGAATCCCCGATTAGGTTACGGGTGACAGCAAAAAGAGGATGGGAACCCATAAGCTCTGCCTTACTGATTGTGGTCGACATCGATTTCTATGCTAGGCAAAGTAAAGGGGCTGTTATTCAGTCACAGAAGTGTCACTTTGAGGGCTTCACGGATCCTCTTACATTCATCTTCATTGAGTTTCCAGTACGCCTCTAAGCCGAGCCGGTTACCCAGTTGTGTGCCGGAATTTCTTCCCGTATAACTTTACAGCGAGGTGGCCAATTATAGTAGCTTGTGGTGTGGCCTTGGGAGTGCCCAAGGCTGGAAATATTGGATTCAAGCGAGATTAGGTGAAAGAAGATAGCAAAATTCATTAAGATTAAACTAAAAGTTGAGTCTTCCTAGTGGAAGATACTAAAACCAATTTGAATATAAAGCAACG